TAAACAGCTCCCCAGATGGAATACTGCTACAGTACTATAAAAAAAAAAAAAAAAAAAAAGATGTCACAGGATGTCTCAGCTAGCAAGATATATCAGACAAAGTAGACACATTACAAAATTAGGAAAAACATAGATAAACCAATCTCCTCGGATTACAATACCATTATTTTAACAAATGACTTACTGTAGTTGTTAGACATCTCAAATACCATTCTTTAGAAACCCAGCAGCTAGGAAAAACAGTGATTCCATCTGTTGATTATTTCTATGAAATAAAAGAAAGAGCTACGTGATCCCTTTATCAGGATCTACTCTTTCCTGCCTACATGTGCTGCAGGCCAGAAAGGAAGAAAACAAAACAGAAGCCTCCCATTTACCAAATCACTTCACAAGAAGGAGAGCTTGCTGGGAATAAGGACCTAGTAGTTCTGAGCCTTCTGTTCTTTATACAAAGAACAGGAAGTTTGTAAGAAAATAAGTGCAAAAGGCAACATCAAAGAATTTCTGCTTCCCTCCTTCCCCAGTTGTGCTGTACACAGTTGAGACAGCCAGAAGCTGGGCCAAAATGCTTGGTGTGGCTATATCATACTTCACTGGACAGCTGGAATCATTTTATGTTGCTATTTTAATTTGAGACAGAAGTTGTGTCTGTTTTTCTTTTCATATTTAATATGTTAGCTAAGATTTAGTGTTCCTTTCTACAAAAGCTCATTTGGAATGCAGATTATTCCATTCTTCATTTTCCTTGTATACATCTAATTACATTTTTAATGGCTGTATTCTGCCTTGCTATACATTCTCTATTCATTTAAATAATAATTGCCAATAGATTTGGCCATAGGTTTCTTGAAAACTATGTAACAAAGGATAATCTTCTTGCAGTACAAATATTTGGATTTTAATCAAAGTCAAGGAAGACACTTTATACCTGTTCTACAAAGCCCCAAACAGTAGAAATGAAACCTCTCCCATAATGGTTCCTATTATCAGCAAGTGTTAGATTGCATTCTCTGAATGCTCTTTGTTAAGAAGAACATGCGATACAGACTAGCTTTATAAGATGGCAAGAAAAAGAAATACGATATTTGAAAGATAACTTTCTAGAGGGCTATGTAAGATAATTAAATCCTAATTCTTACTTTAATATTTCTATAAGAAACATAGTTTGGTCTTTCCCTTTTTCTTTTTGCCAAAGCTTCCTCATTTCAGTTTCGCAGGACAGAGGAGAAGACTGTATTTGAAGCACAAGATTTCCACCTCACAAAAATTTTCTATGTGCTCCTTTGTGGAGCATGACAAGCAGATAAGCTCATTTGCTTATCCCATCCAGTATTATGTTAATGCAAGACAGTTCTCTAGTGTGTGAGAAGTGCAAGAGATGTTCATTTTATTTGGCAGCTCTGCTTCAAGTCCTTCGAAGGGTAGTTTTTTCTGAGGCACTGAACACAGTAATTTTCAGAACTGTTAAGATCAACTGCAAATTCTCATTACCTCTGAAGCCAAGCACAAGACATCTCACTTCTGCTATCTTTTTCAGAAAGGCATAACTAAAACTGCAGAAACCGTTATTCTTATCCTTGCAGCTATTTTCTCTTACCTCTCTCTGCAGGGCTTTCACTCCCTCCCTCTAGGCTCTCTCTTCATCTCTCCAATATCATACGTAGGTCCTTTGCCTCCAGTTCTTATTGTTTGACTCCAACATTCCCCCTTTACCTTCATTTTATGATTATCTCCTAGAAGCTCTTTTCTCCAGATTATCCCTATGACTAAAGTCAGTGACTTTCCATCCTACTCCCAGCCAATCCTATCTCCTTCCAGTCCACAACTGACCTCAGCCCTCCCTGTCTAGATTCTTGGTAAACAGAACTCAAGACAGTTGAGTAACCAGTTGTTTGGTACCACCCCTAAGTGTCATTCAGACTACTAATGCCACTCAATAGAGTATCTACATTTGTAAGAACTACAGTAAAGATTTTATAACAAATGCACTGTGAATTGAGAAGCTTACCAGTGCAAGCATATTTATCTCAAATCATGTGGTGTACAGCTGTGGTTTGCTGGCAACATACTTAGAATGACTTGAGTATCTCATGATTAAACTGAAATGTATTGTCCTTGCTAGCTCACATAAGGCTTTATTTTCCTTTTTTTTTTTTTTTTTTTTTTTAAATTCAACCATCCTTTTTCAGAGTTGTCATATGTCCTTACAAATCATTTCTTAAGTATAAACAAACTTTTCTGCTAAATAACATTACACAAGATGGCACACAGCGTTACTACTGTTTATTAGAAACAGCAAAAGTAACATTATTCCTACTGTATGTAATAACATATTGTATGAGCATGAAAACAGAAAGTCTGGTTATGAACAATCAGGGAATAGAATAAACTTAGTAGGACTACGTTCTGTGCCACTCTAATGGGTTCACTACACACTGAATCAACACTGTAGAAAGATTGTGGTATAACTAGAAGCTCTACTCAGTTTTTCTATCAAAGCAGTTTTTATAAAGGCAAAGCCCATGATCTGTAGGTGTAAACATTATAAAAAGGTGGGAATCAAACTAGGCACTGTAAGGAATCAGACCTACACTGAGAAGCCCCAGGGGTGATAAAGCTGAAGAACCTATATGAGATAACATTGGGTTTTTTTTTTTTTTTTTTTTTTTTTTTTTTTTTTTTTTAAATGCAGCTGTCTTCTTTGGTTGGACAACAATCACTTCTCCCCACACATCAATTGTAGTACAGCTCTTGGCAGACAGTCCTCATACAAAGTATGCGATACTGCACAATACTGTTTAAAGGGAAAATAGACCACTGAAATTCCTTCCTCAGTATTTTAAAGCAGTATGTAGAAAGGACACGTCTGTAAAATAATAAGTAAAGAGTTGTAAACCTGATAATAAAACACATGAGGCCCAGTGCATGTGTAGATCCAGTTCATCAAAAACGTGAAGTAAAATATACTAGCCTAAGCAACTGCCGTTGTGTTTAACATTTGCAGTGGGGCATGAGTACAAATTTCACAATCACAAGATAGGTTGCTTATAAACAAAATAGCATAAGATAACTGCGCACAGCACAGTGGATGCTTGAAGATCTCAAAAAGAAAAAAACAAAGAAATAATTAGGCTTGAGAATTTGTGTATTCAAGAATGATTAACAAATCTACAGTATCCTTCTGGCCAAAATAAAAATAATCTCCTTTTTCTCCTTTATTAATAATTTCCAAGCATGACATTATTGCATTTAGAGAATATGATTTTATAAGTACATTAACTGTAACAGGCATAGCATAGTCCTAGTTGGTTCAGCTCAGGCCAATCTGTAAACTTCCTAAAACTCTAGGACAGTGTCTCTTCTGAGATTAACAGTAGCCTACTTGCAAAAATGTATTTGTTTTGGAGTTAATTAAAATCCAAAAGAAAATAATTAACCTTCAGATTTTTACCAAGTGACCTTCTCCCCAAATATCCTTACATCCTAAATCTCAGAATCCATCTTTCTCAAACTTCTAGAAATCATTTCTACTCTTTCTAGATATGCATGGTTTTATTAATTCAAATAACACAACTGATCCTCTGTACATTATCTGCTTCAGGGTTGCCACATTTTAAGTCAAGTCTGCCCTGAAAAAACATGCTACGATCATTTTTCATTGCCTCATTTTTTGCCTTCTTACTCGTTGGGATTCCAACTCTCAGCTGCATTCCATTCTGACATGCTTGCAGCTTCCATTTAAGCTTGTTTTTCCGTCTTCTTATTCTACTTCTCTCACGACCGTGAAGATCGATACAAAGGTCGTACCGAAGACAAAAGATTCTACCAAATAATTTTTCAAAAAATATTTCTAGAAAACCTTAAAAATCTTTTTAAAATCTGTGTAATCTAGTCTCTCAGCAGAATTCACAACTTTCATGAGAATTTCAGAAAGGAAAAAAAGTACTAGAGCAATTTTTAAGAATTTGTTTGCATTTTTTAGCCTTTGAATTTGATCACTGGGAATGAAAGAACAGAAAAGCTGTCAACTGGCAATTTATTCCTCTCAGACAGAAAATTAAAGCAAAAAAGAAAAGCCAGTAAATTTCATTAACATCCATTTTGACGTATTTGCGGACTATGAGAGGAAGTACTTAGACTGACTTGACCAAATACCAACATCAAAAGAACCACGTGAAAGCATTTTCCTGACTTCAGTTAAATCGTATTAGAGGTGAAGCTGGTCACAAGTTTTATATCCACATGAATTAATTTCTGACAAGACAGTTCTGAGTCCTAAGGCAGAATATCATACTGGAAAAAATCTGCCCTACGTAGGTATAACACAAGACAAGTTAGTAAAGCCAAAACTCAAGCAAACTTAAGTCAGAGAAAAAAGTTTCCATATCACTTCAGAAGTAACCTCCATTGGGGAAAAAATTATGATTAAATGAACCATCAATGGTGAACTAAAAATCACAAAAGGATGGCATTTTTATATAGAATGTTCTAAACTGAAATCTCCAGATGTGACCACCAGGAAAAGTATATTTTGTTAGTAGCTAGTAAAAGATGATAACTCATTTTTCCAGACACATCCAAAACCACCCGTAGCCAATTCTGACTAAACTGGTGGTTATAGCAAATAACTGTGTTACTGCCCAAGAGATCCACAAGCAAATCTCATTACTAGGAACATTACATGTCTCTCTCCAAACAGGTGGGCAGAAAATTACTGTGAAATTTTCAATGGTTTCCAAGTAAACCTAGCTGTGAAAGAGTCTTTCAGATCTTTGCTATTAATTTAAACTTCTCCAGCTGCCCAATAATATATTAGTTTCTAACATAATCTTGTCACAATATACCTGTAACTAATATTATTTGAAATATAGCTGTACTCACTGAACACAAAATCAGACTTATACATTAACACAAAAAAATTGTTCTACAGACTAACGGTTTGAATTAATATCTTCCACACGTGTAAAATAAGCATTTGATAAAACAATCTGTGGTCTGTTCTATTCAGATTCCAATTCAACCACTTCTACTTTGCATTTGAACTTCTGTGGAAAAAAAAAATTGAAGATGATAATGTTTTCTAAATGACAATTTTAAAATGCCATGCCTTCAGTGATTTCTGGTGCATATCAGCTTCAAAGAAACATCACATAATTCAATTTGTAGGGACTTCAGAAAATAATACCATCCAACCTAATAAGAGGAAGGTGAATATGTAGACCCTTATAGTCTAGTCAGCTAGACAAAAGCCACCAAAAACCTGCAGACAGCAATAGTCTCCTCATTTGCTTTTATTCTGCTTTAACAACATTTCATAAAGAGATGATTGATAGCTTCTCTATTTGGCAGACTCCCCCTCTATTTTAACTTCAATTCACACAACTGTATTGTAGTTAATAGTTGCAGTTATTATAGCTTAAAATTATTATCTCTCTTAATGCACATTCTTTAAAATAGATTTAAATGCAATTAATATGTATAATAAGCTTAACACTTTTCCCTATATAAATTTTGACCAATTAATGAAATCAGAAAGAGGCACTGAGAGGCTAAAACTAAGAAATCAGCTTGAAAATAGAACTAGGATAAAGCCAATACTTTTATCTGATTCTTCTTTACCGGCTTTCATGGCAAACATTTTATAAGCCATTCCAGAGCATAGTATAATGAAAGGACACAGGATGTCATTTAAATAAATAAATAAAAATAAAATAAAAAAAATTTCCCCCTTATTTCTGGAAGAACATTCATGGAACTAAGAGTTGTAATAATGATTGGAACAAACTGCATCATGGACAGGTGCTGGGCAAGTAACCACTGAACTGGATTGCTGCCAATACACCTCACTCTTGGCTGGATCTCTCCACCATAAAGCTCAGCCATAATGTTCAAATTTCACTAATCAGTCATTTCCCTTTTTTCACCCCTTAGTCTTTCCCCTACCAGATCCCCTTCGAATGTAATGGGGCTCTGTGTAGGGGTTATTCAGAACACAATCTAGTTCTTAACCATATTCATTCAAACATCAGATGAAAGAAAACTAAAGTCAATTTTAAATTCCTAACAAGTAGTAGGTATAAAAATCATCCAGTGTTGAAGACTCTGGTTGCCCAATACAAAGTCTTTCTTTCAAGGCACAGGATTATTATTTTCTAATTCATTTGTGACTTGCTTTTTTCCCCACTCTACAGTCTAACTGATATTCTTAGCTTCCTTTCCTGCCTTGTCCTAGCACCTTCAAATGTAACTTTATGCTAGCTTGTATTGGAAAGCCTAGCTGTATTTATTTTTTCTTGATTCTGTAACTCCCCCCCAAAAAACGTATTTAGAAAGCATTACAGACTGCCTTATAGAGAAGGATTTAGTTAACAGAAACTACTTTTTAGTTGTAATCTTTTAAAAGTGCGATTTCTGCACATTTCTTTCTTTTTGTAACAGTGTTCTTGATAACATCAGCTTCCAAATCTTTCCCCATTTCTACATGGGGGAAATATGTAATTTGTAATATGGTTCAAATCTACAGTTCTCACTTCTCAGGGAGGAATTCTTCAAGAAAAGGGTTTCAGGTCCTTGAACTTCTGATCTAGTTTCTTAGCTGTGATATTAAACTGACTGTGTGATGTTTTGTAAAGTTCAGTATGAAAGGTTTTGTGTCACAAGGCACGCTGTGTTAGACCAGCCTGGCTTAGATCCCCCCATAAGCCAGCATTTACTTTATCTTTTGCCGATTCTGCTCCATTCCAACAGCAGGACCTTCAGATCTGGATACCACAAGGCTACAGGAAGTCACTTCTATTCTTCAGTTTAAAACATCTTTTATATTTCGCAGAGTACAAACTCTGAAACTAGCCTTAATCTGGATGCAAATTTTCACAAACTCTACCCTTTTACTGACGGTATTGTAGTGCTGAATCCAAAGAGCAGAAATACATAGTGCTCATCACAGGATCATAATTATACATTTCCTCAGCTCAAATAACATGTACTCAAAGAGTAAGACTTCTAGAAAATTCTAAAGTCACAGAAATGCTAGCACATTCTTTTATATATGGAAGTAGGAGAAATGTAAATAAAACAATACTCTTTGATGTAAAATAATTGTACTTATTCCTTAATTATTTTTGAATAGTAGCAACCCTTGTTGAGGAGGTAGTAAAGAACTACTGTGTATTCTAGGGTAACACATATATAGACATCAATTCATATATCTGGTTATTGTTTAAAGTATTGTCTTTAAGAAGAAATGTTTTACGTATTGAAATGTGAGAATATTCATGTACATCAGCTTCTACGTTATAAATAGACAAAAAGTAGATGTGCGTGCATATAAATAAAACCTTTGCTTATTTCTTAAGCTTTGTTCGCATTTCACATAATTATGACATTAAGTGGATGACATCATACAATATCTTATTATGAGCTTATTCTCAAAGTAGCATCAGAAAAGGAAACATGATTATTTCTTTTTCAAATCTGAAGCAGTGGGAGATCAAAGAGGAAGAGGTAAACTGCTGAAAATCTGTAAGAATCTAGGAGCAGAAATAACCCTCTGAGCACTCCATTACAAGAAGTTTGGAAAAGTATGCTTAACCTTTGACATGAAAGGACCATAGGCTGTGTAAGTATGATTATCCCTCAGGAATGGTAAGATCTGAGGTTGTTTTGTTTTTTTTTTTTTAGGTGATTCTAGACACTAAAACCTTCTTTGAATTATACGTATTTCTTTTTGTAGTCACTTGAGTGAACATTTTACATGTTTTAATTACAAAGAAAAAAAAAAAAAAAGACTTACCTGTGGCAAAAAGGGACTAAAAGCCACATTAGTGACAGATTCTGTGTGTCCTCCCAGTTTATATGAAAAGGTACTCGAATGCATCTCAAATACGTAAGCCTAAAAAACAGTGAAATAATTTTCACCTCAAAGAAGTAAAACACTATGGATACACCAAAATATAGTACAAGAGGACTAAAGATTCAGCCTGAGGTGAAGTTAGGAATGTTTCATAATAGCTAGATATATTTCTGTGTCTTCCACATCTTTAAAGAGATTTCTATAAATGAGGATAATTTTTCAAATGCCTAACTAAAGTTGATTAAAATGAAATATAGATATGTATGCTTATATATATATTTACAGGGAATAGTGCAATTTTTTAATCTTGAATAAGCCCCAGAGTAACTCAGTTTGACCTTGCAGACAGCAAACTGCTACAAGATACACATCCTAAAAACTTTTGCATTCAATTAACAGTCTTTCCAATTTATGAAAGGATTCATGGACAAAGGCAGCTCTGGAAAAACACTTAATGTCTCACTCAGAAAACAAATCTCAACAGACAACTCCAAAGATTCTCTAATCCCAGTGAACACCAATGAAATCTGACAGTCCTCAGCGTCAAACATTCTATTCAAGACCGTATTTTCTGAGAGGCTCACTGTAAATCTACTTAATTGCATGTTGTTTATGTATTTCACAAAACCTGTATTCAGTCCAGGATACAGAATTAAAACTATCTAAAGGCTTCAGTCAGCTATCTAAAAGTGGACAGAAAAAGAAGTATACATGTAAGTATATGTATTTTTAACTTCTGGATCCTTATCCTTTGTAGCATTCCGCATAGGTATTGCCACACTACTACAGAAAAGTAGTAGGATCTCAATTAACGTGTTGAAATCTTCGTGCCCTTCCTAAAAGGATAGAGCAAAGAAGCTTGTTAATTGGAAACTCTGCCTCAAACAGTAAGATTCTCCCCTCTCCTTTTTTATATATTTCAGGAAACTAGTCAGAAGAAGTACTGAATTGCTAATAATATATAAGAAGCAGCTTTAGTTTTAAAACTTACAGCCACACCACAGCTACAATGACTTACACTGCTTGGAATATGATCAGTTCACATGGGATGAAAGAGGCAAGAGGAACCCAAACAAGATAAAATTGCTATAATGACACAAAATAAAGCATTATGCTGTGTCTCTAGGCATGAAATTATTTTCTTTGATGGAAAGTAAAAGACCACATGTTAGTAAATTGTCTGTACACAGAACTGCTCAGGTTCTTGCCTGTGAAGTTTTCCATACAGAAACAATACAACTGACTCTACTTTACTGATTTAAAAATACTAAGGAAAGAGTCTTAGTTATTTGCTTCATACCGCTAGCAGATTACAACATTGCCAAATCATTAGATTTAAAAAGAGAAACACTGTCCTTCTAATTATTATTAAATTCAATAGTTTAAAAAAAAATCTGCTTTAACAGAAATGGTATTCAGATATTCATAAAAAACAGAGTAACTCCAAAATAAATATTCTCCTTCTGTAGGCTGCCATCATGCTAATTCTGCTACATTTGTGATGCCATTCAAATTACTTTTCTGTTCTATAACAACTGGATTTTTCTCTCACTTCCTCCTCTACAGAAAAAAAAGACCAGTAAGTGATGTATAAACAAAATCATGACACGAGCAACAACAACAAAAATGTTGAAAATATGAATTCAGTGATAGAGGAGAACATGTTCTTCAGTAAACGAAATGTAGTAAAGACAGAAAGCAAAACAGTCTAGGAAGTGCTCAGTAATTCCTCAGATGCATATGTACATATAATCTGCTACAGACTTCAGCCAAAGTCAATTCCTTTTTTTTATATTAAGAACAATTTTTTTTTTTTTTTTGTAATAAAATTACTGATTCAGTAGATACTGGTATTTTCTTTCCATTCCTGTCCAAGGGTCAGCCAAAAGTAAAAATAATTTACCTGTACCAATAGCTTCCAAAAAGGTTTCCTGCAACCATAACCACATACTCATTTGTGTTTCCATTCACTTGAAGTTTGGAGAACATTTGGAGTAGTCAGTTTTGATTAACCGACAGTATAAGAGTGTATTTAGCACCTTATACAAGCCTATGCTTTCTTTAAATTTGTAGCAAGAGACAGGGAAGGAAGGTGAAGGCCCTTTCTCGAAAAGAATTTATATCCAAATGCAAAACTACTTTATTTTACTGCACTGGTAGAGAGGGTGAGCTAAATAAAGTGATTCTGCCTTCAAAGTAACCTTGTGCCCTTCTGTACCAACTGCCCCCTTGTCTTATCCACAATCATGTGTATTTGAATCAAACTATTTACATGCTTACACTCCGTCAGGAAAAGGGAAGAGTGGGAAGCAAGTCAATAATAGTAACATTGAACACACAACAGAATAATTCTTTTTATCAGTTCTTGCATGGAGACTGAAAAGCAACAACAGTTGAAATACCCAACTTTTCTAGACACTGTGGTTTTAAATTGGAGCGCCTTCTTAACGTATTAATCATTTAAATAAATGAATAAATATGGAAATAAGGAAATAAAAAATAAAAGACTCTAGCATCTAACACATTTAATTTGACCTTACACAAATAGAGATTTCTTCTTCAGAAATTTTGAATGGAATGGCCAAATTTTTCCTAGGACTGCTCAGTGTAATATTTCAAATGAGCTCCAGCAGATGGAAGCATTAGAGTATCTGGTGGGAAGATAAATAAATAAATAGCTTACACTTTCATGAAACACATCTGGATTTGTTAGGAAGACATTAGCTTCCCTTTGCCTCCATTAGTGTCATTACATCTGGTACACAGTCCCTTGCTACATGATATAATTATTTGGCTTGCATTTCATCAATCTGTTTACACTGGGCCCACATCTCCTGCTGAACTGTATATTTTTCCTTAATTTCAAGTTTAAGAAGCACCTGAAATGCTTGTTCTAAAATGTAAAATAACAATCAGCCTGGAGCAGACATCCAGCATGGAAAGTTTCAACACAAAACATTCCTAGTTACAAACAACTAAAAACAGAATTATAGTGGAAAGTGTTGGACTACTGTAATTACACGCATCAGTGCCAACTCCACACATAATAAAACAGATTTTGCAAGTTTTCTCAGCACTGATTAACACTCTTCAGTCCTGAGACATGTTATACAATAGCAGCACGGAAAATCTATTCAAGCCCATCCCCAAAATATTGAATACAATATGCCCTTTGAGAAACCCTGCTCTTCCAATGCAACTTGTTGTGGAAGCTTCTTCGGTAGTTGCAAGAAATTACCTATTACAGTAGAATCCCACTTTCCATTTGAGTTCCTTCCATGTAACCACAAAAGGAGTAATGGTGAAAATTAATAAGGTTCTTCATTATTAAAGCTTAATATCATCAAGATCAGGTCTTTCAAAACACATGGTATACTTTTCAAATATATATATATTTGAAAATTATATGTATACTGACAACTACAGCTAACACAGTTTAAATTTTCCTCATTAAAGATTATATAAGAAGATCCAAACCATACGTGAGTTTTACTTCTTAGAAATTTCCAATTTATATTTTTTTTCTGATTTTAGTGTCTATTTAATTAGTCAATTGCAAAACTTTATACATATGCTTGTTTTTAATTCTATACCTGGTATTTATGTAGCACCAAATATTATTGTTTTACTTTTATAACACACCTGGGTATGGAAGAGTGAAGAATTATTATTGAAGATTTTGCTTTAGGAAAATTTACCTCCCTTCTAGTTACAAATAGAAGCAGAACAGTTGGAGCATATCCACCCTGTAAATGGCTCTTCGGCTGTTGCTAAAACCGTCTTCTGTATCAACTTTAATTGCATTCCTTGTTTGTATACTGCTATTGATTGACAAAATTACTACAGAAAGATACAGAGGATCCTCCTTCAGCTGCTCAAGCATAAGAGAATTTCATTAGCTTTACAGTGGATTGCTACGTATTAATAAATTTGCAAGCTCAGTGCAATCAGCTACAAGGACAAGAGGACTCACGTACCAATGCCACAAAATTCTTCAGAGATGTACTCAGCTATACTCATAGAAAGCCCAAGACCTGTGATTGTAAACCTATATCCATGCTCTCTTAGCATCCCACTGGTTTTGTTGGACACAGATAACTATTAAACATGAATGAAGTTTGGGTATTTATATCTACTTTTACTTCCTATTTCACCTATACTTAAATATAAGGTATTTCCTTTATAACTAATATTCTCCAGCAAAAAAGCTAACATCTAGTATTTCCATTCTGCTGGCATAATTACCCACAGTAGTATCCCCTTGCTGACCTGGGGAGGCACAACATAAGAGATAGAGTCCTACTGAGTGGGATGAGACAACAGGCTTAAAGGTTTACACAGTAACACACTGTAGCCTCAAGTCAGTTTTGACAGGCTACTAGAAAATATATGTTTTGTAGTAGTTAAGTAAACACACTTAGAATCATACATCACTTGATTTGGAAGGGATCCTCAAAGGTCATCATGTCCAACCCCCCTGCAATGAACAGGGACATCTACAACTAGATTGGGTTGCTTGGAGCCCCCTGCAGCCTGACCTTGAAGGTCTCCAAGGATAGGGCATCTACTGTCCCTCTGGAAAACCTATCCCAGTGCCTCACTATCCTTACTGTAAAACATTCTTCCTTATATCCAGTCTAAATCTCCCTTCTTTTAGTTTGAAGCCATTTCCCCTTGCCCTATCATAGTAGGCCCTGTTAAAGAATCTGTAACCCTTCCTTCTTACAGCCCTGCTTTACATACTGAAGACTGTTCTCATGTCTCTCTGGAGCCTTCTCTTCTCCAAGCTCCCCAGCCTAGAGAAGAGAACAATTCCAGCTCTTTCAGCCTGTCCTTGTAGGATTGGTGTTCTATCCTTTAGATCTTTTTTTTTTTTTTTTTTTTTTTTTTTTTTTTTGTGGCCACTTATAAATAAATTTGCCAATTCTCTCAACTGCTAACCTGGATTTATGCTGGTCAGTTCTGAGATGTAGATACACCATAGATAAAGCAGCAGTCCAAGCTGACCAAGAGGCAAACAAGAGCAGCTAATATGCTCA